TTTGTTTTTGTTTTTTTGAAACAGGGTGTCTCTGTAGCTCTAGCTGGCCTGGAACTTACTATGTAAACCAGGCTAGCCTTGAACTCACAGAGATCTGCCTGCCTCTGCCTCCCAAGTGCTAGCATTAAAGGCATGCACCACCATACCCAGATTTTAAAAAGATTTTAAACTTTGTTTTTAAATTATTTTTATTTTATGTGTATGCGTGTATTGCCTGCATGTAGGTAAGTGCACCCATGTTGTGCAATGCTCACAGAGGTCAGAAAAGGCTGTCAGATCCCCTGGGACTGGAATTACAGACAGTTGTTAGCTGCCATGTGGGTGCTGGGATTCACACCCTGGTCTACTCCAAGAACAACCAGTGCTCTTAACTGCTGAGCCATCTTTCCAGCCCCGCTTGTTGTTTTTTTATAGTGGTCTCAATGGACATAGGATGTTTTTTGTTTGTTTGTTTGTTTTGGTTTTCATTGCATTAATGACAAATATTGAGAAGTATTGAAGTGAAACTCAAATGTCAAAGTCCCTTGCTATTTTCTCTCTCTCTCTCTCTCTCTCTCTCTCTCTCTCTCTCTCTCTGGGCAACAGAGTGTCGGTTGCTTTGAATCTTTTAAAATATTTTATTTATCATTTTTATTTTGTGTGTATGAGTGTTATGCTTGCATGTAGGTAAGTGCACCTGTGTTGCACATTGACAACAGAGGACAGAAGAGGGCATCAGTTACCCTGGAACTGGAGTTACAGACAGTTGTTAGCTGCCATATGGGTGTTGGGATTCGAACCCCGGTCTTCTGCAAGAATAGTCAGTGTTCTTAACCGCTGAGCCATCTCTCCAGCCCTGATTGCTTTGAATTTTAAAACAGGATCTCAGGTTGTAACACAGGTTAGCCTGGAACTCACTGTGTTTTTTGAGCTAGCCTCAAACTTGTGGTATTCCTCATACTTCAGCTTCCTGAATGCTAGTATTACAGGCTTGAGCTGCCATGCCTGGCCCTCACTTTTTTTTGCTGTTTTTTTGTTTGTTTGTTTAAAGTTTTTGAGACTAGACTTGGTTGTATAAGCCTAGTTGGCCTGGAACTCACTATGTAGACTATGTAGGCCAGGGTGGCCTTAACCTTTTGGTGATCCTACTTCCTTTACCTCCTGAGTGCTGCGATCACAGATGCATGCTATCATGCCTGACTAACCTTGCTCAGTTTGAATTGGGTTGTTTCTGTTTTCGTTGTGTTGTGGGAATCCCTTGTGTATTCTAGATATATCCTTATCAGATACATAATTTTCACATTTCCTCCCAGTCTATAGATTGTCTTTTGTCCCATCCTTTGATGCATAAAAATTAAAATTTTTGTTGTCTATTTTTTCTTTCCTTTTCGTATCATATATAAGACATCATTGCCAAATCTAATGTCAAGAAGCCTTTGTTTCCTTTCAAGAATTCTGTAGTTTTGAGGGCTGGAGAGATGGCTCAGCTGTTAATAGCACTGACTGCTTTTGCAAGGGACCTGTGCTTGGTTCCCAGCACCTACATGGCAGCAAACAACCATTCGTAACTCTAGTTCTAGGGGATCTGATGGCCTCTTCGGGTTTCCCTGGGCCTCACATGCAAATGAGGCACTTACATACATGCAGACAAAACACATAAAATAAAAATAAAACAATTAAAAAAAGAACTATATAGTTTTAGCTCCTTCATTTTGGTGTTGGATCCTTTTCTTTCCTTGTTAGTTGATTGGTTTCTGTACATGTCTGTGCACATGTGTGTATGGCAGTGTGAATTTAGGATTGCATGTAAATGAAGAGATTAGAGGTTGATATCAGGTGTCTTCCTCATTTCTCTCCATCTCAGTTTTAGAGACAGGATCTCACTGAACCTCGAGCTTTCCAGTTTGGCTAGACTAGAAACAGACAAGTTCCCAGGATCCTCCTGTTTGCACCTCCCAGCACTGGGATTGCAGGTGTTTACCACTGTACCCAGCTTTTTTTTTTTTTTTTTTTTTTTTTTTTTTTTTTTGAGATAAAACCTTACTATGTAGCTCTGGCTGGCCTAGAACTTATTACGTAGACCAGGCTGGACTTTGAATTCAGGGGTATCTGCCTACCTCTGCCTCTGAGTGCTGGGATTAAAAGTGTGTGCCACTGACCTTGCACAAAATGGTGAGAGAGGTGCCTCTTGGTGTTCTCGGCTTATATATCCTTTGCCCCTCCCCCCACATGCAGCTAAGGTCAACTGATTGGGGGGAGGGGTAACTGACTACCCCCTTGACTCCTTGATGAGTTTGGGAAGGAGATGTAACTGTAGTTTGCTGGCATAGTGGTCGGAGGACATTTCCAGGTAACACTATACCCTTTCCTCCGGCTCTTACATTCTTTCCACCAACCTCTTCTGAAAAAGTTCCTGAGCCTTGGAGGGGGTGGTAGGTGTGGGATGGTCTTCCTCTCATTGTGGCAGGGCACTGAACTTTTGGGTCTCTGCATCATCTGTTTTCCATGGGCTGTTGCCCAGTTTCAGTGGGATTCCATCTGCATCATGTGGAGGCCGGTTCCAGGCACTCTCAGGGGTGTGCTGAGTTCTCAGCATCTAAGCCAGACAGAGGCCAGAACAGCCCTCTCAGGATGTTTGTTAAGGTCTCTGTACCCAGCTTTTTATATGAGTGCTAGGGATCAAACTCAGGTTTTCATGCTTTACCCAGGGAGGCATCTTTCCAGGTCCCCCACCTTTTTTTGAGCAGGGTCTTGTATAGACAAGGCTGGTCTAGAATTCCTTATCCTTCCTCAGCTTCCCAAGTGCTGGGATTATAAGTGTGGGCCATCATGCCTGGCTGCCACATATCTTGTGCTTTGGAGAGAATGTCCTAGCGTGCTCTAAAATCTTCCTGTTTTCTGTCCATGCAGTATAACCTTTATGGTATCATCAGTAGTGAATTTATACCATTTTAGAAGAAAGCAAAAGAATTACCACAGGGAATGACTACAGAAGTATACTCTTGCCCAACTCATGTGATTATGAACTGCCTTCTTCCTTAGAAAGGTGGAAAATAAGGTATTTGCCTCCTCAGTGGACACATTCCATGTACCTGAGGTCAAGTTAATCTGCCCTTGCAAAGATAGAGCTGGCACAGTGATGTGATTGAGACATATCTGCAGTCTTCCAGAATCAGTGTACTCTTGTATTTCCCATTGGCTTACCCCAGAAGACAGAGGTAAACTAATACAGAGGTTGTGCCAACTACCAAGTATGTACATTCTAATTACACATCTGGGGACTGAGGAAATGACTATTGATTGAGTCTGTAGATCTAGTAGACCCACTGTGAACTGGATCTGGGCCAAAATTCCATTTATAGCCTTGTCCTCATATGCTCTGTGCCATGATAGTGCTTAAGGTTACCAGGTATCAGAGTCTTCTGAGATCCAGTATCCAGCAAATCTTGAAATACCTAGGTATTATGTTTTCCCCAATGTAACTACTTGAATAAATGGCCATAGACTCTTTGGTAAAGGCTGGAAGAATCCAGGTACACTTGTGGTTTCACACAATCTTGTCTCCTGGGAGAAATAGGCTCTTCTTCAGGTAATACTCTAAAAAATTGGTTAGAGGTTATTAGTGTGTGTGTGTGTGTGTGTGTGTGTGTGTGTGTGTGTGTGTGTGATCATGTGGATGTGGAGGTCAGAGGACAACTTTTGAGAGTTGGTTCTTTCCTTTCACCAAGTTTCAGGGACTGAACTTGGGTTGCTAGGCATGTGCAGCCAAGCACTTTACCCCCTGAGTCATCTCATGGCACTGGCTGGAGGTAGTGGCTTTTTAATGGGGTACAGCCTACAGTCTCTTTTCCTTATTGATTATTTTGATTATTGAAGCTATGTCCCATTAACTCCTCAGCTGTCTAGCTCCTAGGAACAGGGTATTCAACAAGTCATCTCTATGTCATTAGTTCTGAATCCGTTTTTAGAGTTTTCTTCCTTATACCAGTCCTGACATCAGCTGTGTTAGGTTGAGTCTCTTGGGAAACAAACTTCACAGTGAAGATTTTCTTGGAGAAAGTTTGCTGGGAACACTCTAGAGGAAGAATGTGCTCTGAAGGAACAAGGAAAGCTTGGTTAGACAGATGGAGGACTTTAGCCATGATTCATTTTTAGCAGGCCTCAACTAATACTATGGGGGCTCTGAAGCTAAGTGGCTCTTCAGAGCCATTTGAATTGAGAGAAAAAATGGATTCTTGCACCTGACTCATACACAAGGTTCTGTGTGCAGGCTGTCTGGAGGAATGGGAGGCATAAACAGGGAAGTAGTTTTCCTTTGGCTGCAAGAAGTTCTAGGGAGAGTCAAGTGTGAACCATGTGCAGGCAGTATTCCTGGGGAGAGTTGAGTGTGAGCTATGTGCAGGCAGTGTTCCTGGCATCAGGAGAATCAGTGCTGAAGAGGAGGATCCACTACAGTTCCCTTCTAGAAACAGCTAAGAAATTATTCCTGGCCCCTTCTCTGAATTCCTGAATAGAAATACCTGATGTCTTAAGAGCTGGAGCTGGGGTATAGATAGAGCCTTTTCATTTTTAATTTGTAGTTACTATTGTTTTAAAAACAGATTGTGCTGGGGATGTAGCTATTACTAGAGTGCTTCCATAGTATGTACAAAGCTCTGGGTTTGATACTGAACAAACTGGGTGTGGTGGCATAGATCTATAATCTCAGTGCATACAACAGGGTCAGAAGTTTAAGTTCATCCTTGACTACATAGTGAGTTCAAGTCCAATCTGAGATATGTGAGACTGTCTCAGAAAAATATCAGAAGGAAAATCCTTTTGTTTGTTTTTGTTTTTGAGGCAGCATCCTACTATGTAGTCCTGGTTGGCCTGGAACACACTATGTAGATCAGGTTCCTCATATACACAGAAATTCAGTGCCCCCTACCTTCTGAGTGCTGGGATCAAAGGTATGCACCTGACCAGAGGGAAAGGATTATTTGCTTGGAGTACATAATGTCTGCTTTTTGTGAGAATTGCAGGGAACTGGAAGACAAGAAAAAGATTCAGAATCTCTTAGCTCTTGTGGGACCAGACATTGGAGAAGTGACTTATTTTTATAAGGAGCCTCCCCACAAAGTAAGTGATCTTTGCTATGATGTAGAGAGTATGACCTTTATACAACACTAGTGAGGTCTATAGTCAGATCAACCTTAGTACTTGCTAGAGCTGCCTCATAGAGAGTAGCCATCCAAATGTTTTCCTGAGTTCTTGAAGCATTTTCCTTTAAAACCTTGTGAAGGTTTTTCCACTATTTAGAAACCTAAAGACTATGGTTGGGGCATAGCTCAGTGGTAGAATACTTGTCTAGCATGTGTGAGGCTCTAGGTTTATCCTCAGCATTGTACCAGAAGAAGAACAGAACAAAAAAGAAAACTAAAGCCTAGAGGGGTAGATATTCTAGCTGAGATTAGAGAAGAAAGCAAAGACAATCTGTGAAGAAGACATTTCAGTAAATTTCTCTTTTAAGCTTTGTTTCCACTGATTATAAATGTACCAATGGTCATTATTAAAAACAAAGGTGGTGAGACACACCTATAATCCCAGCACTTGAGAAGTGGAGGCAGAAGGATCAGGAATTCAAAGCCAGCCCAGGCTATATGAGATCCAGTCTCAAAGAACCAAAAATATAAAAACACATAGACAGAAGTCTATCATATAAGAGTAATAGTCTCCTATATTCCTAGCCCTGGAGGTGAACTGTTATTAATAGTTTGGTATATTTATTTCCAGTTCATTTTTTATTCAGAAATAGTTAGAAGTATGTATCATTTTTTTTCTTTGTGTTTGTGATTTTTTTTTTTTTTAGACAGAGTCTCAATATGTGGCCCAAGCTAGCCTGGAATTCATTAGGTAACCCAGTCTGGCCTCAGACTTAGAATCTGCTTGCCTCAGCTTCCCAAGTGTAGGGATCAAAGAGGTGTGCCATCATGCCTGGTTGATTTTCACTTTTGTAAAGAATTTTTCAGTAGCATTTTTATACATAGCTACATATGCATATTGTTACCTGTTTCTTTAATGTCCTTGTCAAAGAGCACTTTTTAAAGTATATTTTGGTTAAATAGACCTGTGATTTTATTTATTTATTTAGTTTGTATTAACACTGGATTTTCTCCAATGTTGTTACTTTACCCATGTTACCTCTCATGTACATGCAACATCTTTACATGGTTATATCAATTTTAACCGATTTAACCTATAAATGTTGGATCTGTACAACTAAGACTAAAAACTATAATTTCACAGATACAGGAAGACTACTTCTATGCCTTCTCTTCTTCTTTAGGTCAGTATTCTCCAAAAGTCTACCAAGGCTGTTGATGTATATAATCAGAATGAGCCTTCCGCTTCCAGAGCAGGTAACAGCTGGACTAGAAACTTTCACTAATGTAGAATTAAACTTCATGATATAAATTATTAGAGATTTTTCCCTAATAAACAGAGACAGTGGTGCCCCTCGCAGTCCAGTATCTTACAGATCTGGAACTATGCAAGGAATGAAATTTTGTTTAATGCAAGTGTTTTTTGTTGTTACTGTGTGTATACAAGTTTATATGGGGGGGGGGCTACACATTTGTGTGAAGGCCGGAAATGGTTGTTGAATGCCTTCCTCAGTTACCTCATCATCTTATTTTTGAGACAGTTTCTCACTGAACTTGGAGCTTCCTGATTCAATGAAACTGGTTGTCCAGTGAACCCCAGGGACCCTCTTGTCTTTGCCTCTCCAGGTGCATGCCACCACATCTGGCTTTTTACAAGGGTGGTAGAGATCTGAACTCAAGTCCTCAGGCTTATGCAGCAAGTACTTGACTGACTGAGACATCCCCCCAGGCCACCTGTGCAAGTTTTCTTTTGCTGTTTTAAAAAATATATTTTTGAGCTGGGCGTGGTGGCACATGCCTTTAATCCCAGCACTTGGGAGGTGGAGATGGTCAGATCCCTGAGTTAAGGCCAGCCTGGTCTACATAGTGAGTTGCAGGCCAGCTGGGGCTGGCCTTGAACTCACAGAGATCCACCTGCCTCTGCCTCCCAAAGGCTGAGATTAAAGGTGTGCACCACCATGCCCAGCAAACTTTCTTCTTTTAAAAACACAGCCTTCCTATGTAGCCCTATCTCTCTGCTAGCTATTTTCAAATATATAGTACTTGTCAACCATAGCTAGGCCACTGTGCTCTGAAGCATTAGAAGTTACTCCTCTCCAGCTGGACCCCAGTACCGTGAGCCATCCTCCGGCCACCATTCCTTCTCCATACCCTTCCCAGGTTCTAGTAAACTCATTCAGGATTCTGCTTGGACAGCTGAGCACTGTAGGTTTTCTGTGCCTTCCTTTGCCTTCCTTTCCTTCTTGTAGGTAAAGGAAACCGAACTCCTCTGCAGGATTAATGCTGATGCTTGCCTAGCAGAGAGAAAAGTTGAGTAAAGTTTTTGATAAATTTTCATTTTCTATTTTAGATCCTAAAGTAAACAAAAAAAGTCTAGCAATAAAAGAAAAAGACGACAGCTTTGAGCATTACCAAACAGATGTACAAACACTCATCCTACAGGTAATGTATCATTTTGATAGACCAAGATGGCATCCGTACATTTCACTTTGTACATATGTCAGCATTATACGGGAAGTATCTCCTTACACATAGATTGCATTCATGGAGTCAAGAAAATTGATTATTATATTTTTTTAAATTTTATTTTCTGGATATGAGTATATTGCCTGCATGTATGTAAGTACACATGTGTCATGCAATGCCCACAGCAATCAGAAGAGGGCATTGGATCCCCTGGAACTGGAGTTATAAATGGTTGTTAGCCACCATGTCGGTGTTAAGAACCAAACCTGGGTCCTCTGCAGTAGCACAGCCAGTGCTCTTAACTGCTAAACCATATTTTGAGCCCCAGTGTTATTAATATGACATTTATTAGGAAATGGTTTTAATATAGATTTAAATCTGAACATTAAAGGAGGAGAAGAGGAAGTCTTAACATAGTGGCATACTCTTGCAGTCTTAGCTCTGAGTCTGAGGCAAGAGGATTGAATTTGAGGTCTTCTGGGTTTTGTGGGGAAAGCAAAACCCTATCTCTGTATACCCTCACCCAGCCAAAGATTGAGAGAAAGAGAGAGAGAGAGAGAGAGAGAGAGAGAGAGAGAGACTGATTGTTAATCAATGGAATTTCCAAAGAGAGACAAAGGTAGTAAAGCATACCCTAGAGTGGCTATGGGTTTCTCTAGAAAGTAGCCTCTTATCATACCTTAAATCATTAGTTTCTTTTTCTTTTTTTTTTTTTTTTTTTTTTTTTTAAAAAGGGAAAAAAAAAAAAAAAAAAAAAGAGGACGATAAATCTTTCACTGTGATATATCAAAATAACTGCCTCTGCCCCCGAAGTGCTGGGACTACAGGCATGTGCCACCACACCCAGCTAGCACTACACCTTAAATCATTATTTTCTTTTTTTTTTAATTTTATTTATTATTTTTATTTTATGTGTATGTGTGTAGTATTGCCGGAGTTACGGACAGTTGTTAGCTGCCATGTGGGTGCTAGGATTTGAACCCAGGTCTTCTGCAAGAACAACCAGTGTTCTTAACCACTGAGCCATCTCTCCAGTCCCTTAAATCATTATTTTCTATCTAAACAGTCTGGAATGCTTCTCTCCACTTTTAGTTCATATGCTAAGCCCTACTCAACAAAACCATCCTAAAGTAAGAATTCACCTTTAAAAAAAAAAAGTTTATTTTTACGTGTATGAGTATAATGCCTGCAGGTAGGTGTACCCATGTTGTGCAGTGCTCTTGGAGGTCAGAAGAGGGCGTTGGATTCCCTGGAACTGGAGTTACAGATGGTTGCTAGCCACCATGAAGGCTATAGGAGTTGAACCCAGGGCCTCTGCAAGAACAATCAGTGCTCCCAACCACTGAACCATCCCTCTAGCCCCCTCCCCCCCCTTTTTTTAAAGGCAAAAAAGCAGGGTCTTACTGTGTAGCCTTGACTGGCATGGAGCTCATTATGTAGACCAGACTGGCCTAGATCTCATAGAGATCTACCTACCTGCCTCTGCCTCCCAAGTGCTCAGATTAAAGGTGGATACCACTGTGCCAAGCTAGAAGCCTCTTTGATATTGGACTGAGGAGCACACAGAGGTTAGTGTAGGAAAGCTTCTCTGTGTGGCACATCAACATTGGGAGTTACATCCATTATTTAGTGTGTGTGTCCTAAAATCTAGGAAAATGGATAAGTCATTATCTTACTAGTTGGTTATTGTATGTCCTTTGGAACCCTGGTTTTTTGTGGGGGGGGGTTTGTTTTTCATCTAGTTGCACTAAAGTTCCTGTCCTTATTGGGATGGGGATGCATTGACTTAAAAGACCATTTCTACCTTTGTCCAGTATCTTTAGAGTCAGAACAGCCAGATTCTGAGAAAGAAATTGCATTCTATCCATTTGTTCTACTTGTTGAAACTGTAAAAGTCCCCATGTTTCTATATAACTGGGGCATCTTAAAAGGGAGATAGTCCTAAAACTCTAAAAGGAGACAGTGAGAAAGCTAGGGTAGGGAAAAGGAGATTTTGTAGCCTTTTCTTTGTGTGGTGTGTATGAGGGATTGAGTGTGAACAGAGTTGGCTTTTGGGCCGGAGAGATGGCACCATTTGTAATCTGTTAAAGACAATTAGGAGTTAGTGGGGTGGCTCAGTTGGCAATGTGCTTGTCATGCAAGCATGAGGACCTGATCCCTAGAACCCCCATCAAAAAGCTGGGCATGGCTGTACATATCTGTAATCTCAGCTCTGGGAAAGCAGAGACAGGTAGATCCCTGGAGCTCGCTGACCAGCCAACCAAGGCAATTGTGAGCTCTAAGTTCAGTGAGAGACCCTGTCTCAAAAAAATAGGGTAGAGAGTAATTGAGGAAGACACCTGATGTTGATCTCTGGCTTCTACACACATGAATATATGTGTGCACTGCATACTCCCACAGGAACTCACACACATACGACATACACACAAGAAAGAAAATTCAAACTGAGATTTTTGCTACTGTTTGTTTTGTTGCTGTGTTTGGGTTGGTTTGTGGTATGGTTGGCTTGGTTTTACTTTGTTTCTGGAAAAGGGCTCACTTTCAGAGCTCTAAAATAAGTAGAAGCAGGGATGGAAATTCACCCCTCTTGGCCTTTGTAGGTGCAAGCACTTCAGGCACAGCTGGAAGAGCAGACCAAGCTTTCTAGAGAACAAGTTGAAGGGCTCATGGAGGACAGACGGATTCACATTGAGGAAATACAAGTTCAGCACCAGAGAAATCAGGATAAAGTCAAAGAACTAACCAAAAGGTGAGTATTCAAAAAACACATACCTAACAGGTTCTGTTGTTCTGAATGCCTTAAAAGTTAACAGTTCAGGGCTGGAGACATGGCTCACCAGTTAAGAACACTGTTCTTGCAGAAGATCCAGGTTCGAATTCCAGTATCCACATGGCAGCTAACAACTGTACATAACTCCAGTTCCAGGGGACCCAACAGCCTCTTCTGTCTTCCAAGGGCATTGCACGACACAGGTGCACTTACCTACATGCAGGCAATACACACATACAAATGAAATAAAAATAATACTGAAAAGAAAAAGTTAACAGTTCTTAGCCGGGCATGGTGGTGCATGCCTTTAGTCACAGCATTCAGGAGGCAGGTGGATCTCTCTCTGAATTCAAGACCAGCCTGGTCTACACAGTGAGTTCCAGGTCAGCTGGGGCTACATAGAGACCCTTTCTCAAAAAAATTTTAGCAGTTCTTGGGCTGGGTATATATAGGTCAGTGGTAGTGGGATGGCCTATCATGTTTTAGTCTCAGGTTCATTCCCCACATAAGGGGGGAAAAAAAAGTTCTGGGGCTAGAGAGATGGCTCAGGGGTTAAGAGCTCTTATGGCTCTTGGAGAAGACCCAGGTTTGGTTCCCAGCACCCACATGGCAGATCATAACTGCCTGTAACTTAAGTTCCAGGGGGTACAGTACCCTTTTTTGGCCTCCATGGACATCAGTCATGCACATGGTGCACATACATACATGTAGGCATTCACATACACATATAAAAATAAATATTTAAAAATAAATAGTTCTGTATCATGACAGCAAAGGATTGTGGGACAGAGTGACCTTGAAAAGCTATCTTCCTACCTGGGCATAGTGACATATACCTATAATTCCAACATTCAGGAGGCTGCTGCTAAGGCCAGCCTGGGCTGTAGAGTTTAAGGTCAATGTGAAGTACATAGTGAGACCCTGTCCCCAAGCAACAACAGTCAATATAAAACAACAACAAAGAACTCCACGAAAAGTTATCGACTTAATATATTGGGGAGGAGGCTGGAGAGATGGCTCAGCAGTTAAGAGCACTGACTGCTTTTGCCGAGGACCCAGGTTCGATTCCCAGCACCCACATGGCAGCTACGAACCATCCTTAACTCCAGTTCCAAGGGAATCTGAAGCCCTCTTCTGACCTTTGTGGCATTGCACGACACAGGTGCACTCACATATTTTTTTTTGGTCTTTTTTGAGACAGGGTCCCCCTGTAGCCCTAGCTGGCCTGGAACTCACTTTGGAGACCATGCTGGACCTGAACTCACAGAGATACACCTGCCTCTGCCTCCCGAGTGCTGGGATGAAAGGTGTACACCACCACGCCCAGCATAAAATATTTTTTAAAAAATGGTTTTTTAAAAATTTTATGAGTGTATTGCCTTCATGTATATAAGTGCACCTATGTTGTGAAATTCCCAAGTAGGCCAGAAGGGGGCGTTTGATCCCCTGGAACTAGAGTTACAGACATTTGTTAGCCACCATGTGGGTACTTGGAATTGAACTTGGGTCCTCTGCAAGAGCAGTCAGTGCTCTTAACCACCCAGACATCTTTAGCCCAAGTTATCAACTTTCAAAAACCATTTATAATTTCCCATTAACTTCATAATAAAGCCCTGACATTTTAGCATGAATTATTGGTAACTCATCATCTGATACTAAATTAACTTTTCAGCCCAGCTTCTCCCCTTTTGCTTTAGTCCACTTTGTGCCTCAGTCAGTCTAATTGTTTAAGGAAAAATTGTTATTAGCAAGCACATTGCTAGACACTGTAAAACCCCTGAACTAAAGACTTAAACCAAATACACATTCCATAATGACTAGTGTGCCTTTATGATAGCCATATCACCACATATAATTATACCTTTGTTCCCTAAGCCTCTGCCCTATTCTGTGTGCACAGTAGGCACACAACATATATGTTGAATGCTTGATCATCCTTACTAAATTGCACTGACTCACCATCTCTTGAAACATTGTGCAGTATTTTTGTGGGGTTTTGTTTTGAGACATGGTCTGAAACGTTTTATGTAGAGCAGGCTGGCCTTAAACTCACAGAGATCTGCCTGCCTCTGCCTCCCTAGTGCTGGAATTAAAAGCATGCAGGACCATACCCGGGCTCATGTTAATTTTAAATTTTGCTTATTTATATGCTCGTGTGTGTGTGTGTGTGTGTGTATGTGTGTGTGTGTTCATGTTGTGTGGAAGCCAGAGGTGTGTGGGTGGTATTCCTCAGGCTGTCTGCCTTGTTTTTTGAGACAGGGTCTCTCACTGGCCCAGAACATGCTGTTTAGGCTAGGCTGTTGGCCAGTGAGTTCCAGGGATCTCCAGCTCCCCAGCACTAGAATTATAAATGTGCACCACCATACCTGTCTTTTTAAAGTGTGTTCTGGGGATCAAACTCTTCATGTTTAACAGAAATCACTTTACAAAGTGAGCTATTTATTTTGGAGGTAGATCTCTAGTCCAAACTGGTCTTAAACTTCTTATGTAGCTAAGGATGACCTTGAACTTCTTAGTCTGTCTCTACTTCTCAAATGCTGGCATAACAGGTATACACTAGCAGACCCATTTATATGGTGCTGTGCGGTTGAACCCAGGCCCTTTTATCTACTAGGCAAACATTATACCAACTGAGTTATATCCCTGTCCTAATTTTCTTTTTCCCTCTCACTCTCCCCTCCCCTCCGCTCCCCCTCCCC